ATAACACCCTTATTTTTAAAAGACAAGGCTTACTGCTGTCTCTTATACACATCTAGATTCTAGTGGAAAGAAACGACGGCCGCACGAGTACGAGGGCACATAGCGCCGGCAAGTAAACAATAAGGAAGGAAAATAATACACTGTATCTATTTCGAATTACTGTACTGTCTGAGTGTTTATTCACATTTGAAATAAAAAATTAGTTTTTATTTTGTTTTAGTACGACTAGGCATATCATAGGTTTATGTGAAGGCCTACTTTGTTGGCCTAATCGAGTTCTACTTGCAGCCCTGCCAATTTTCCATTGTAGTACAGGCCAGACTTAAGCCTAACACCAGCGGAAATTTTTGCCTTTTTTGAGGGGATACGGCCGCACCCCCAAGCCTACGCCCCGGTATTCAGAGAATATCACTATTAAGAGGACACTTTCGAAACGAGGAGAAATACGGTACATCATTCACCACGACCAAATCTTATTAAAGGACACCCCAATAAGGAGGATGGAGACAACCTTCATAACAAGTTACTTTCGGAGTGTGCCAAATAGCCAAAGAAACACTTATTAACTCCTATTAAGATGATTTTGACTACATTTATGTTGATTTGATATCATAAACTGTATTTTAATTACAAATTGTTAAAAATTAGTTCAATTAACATTGTAAAGAATACAGTAGAACCTATCTTTTTTGGAAACCCCTATTCAGGGGACACTTTTCCGTTAAACGAGGGGAAGTATATTTCAGATCTAGAGTGTGGCAAATGGCCAAATAACCCTTATTAATGGAACACTTTTTTTTAATTATAGTATCACAATTCAGCTTCAGCAGTCTCAAAATAAGATAAATTCATTCAACTTTATATTTTTTCACTTTTTGAGCAATAAACCAGAATTGTTTCTCTTGAATACTTAGAGTGAGCATCGTTAGGCCTACTGACCCTTAACCATGGAGATTTCTTTCTAATTTTAATCCATATCATAACATACTGTACACCTTTAATTCTAAGTTGTTGTCTATTCATAGACCAGGGTTGAAAAACATAATGAAAAGGCTGTCATCTCCACTGGCCAGGATCAATCCTAGGAGGACGATGGTTTTCTATTCAGGGGGCACCTCTATAAAGAAGACACTTGTTATTCCCAAAGGTGTCCCCTTAATAGGGGTTCTACTGTGGAATGTTACGTGCCATCCCTCTTAATGTTTTCGTAAATACGGTAGCTAACCAATAGACTCAGGGACACCTCTATTTGGTATATGGGACACTTTTGTGGTCCCAAATCTGTCCTTTTACTATAGGGTTCTACTGTGAAGCCTTGCCTAATGTGTAAGCCTATCTTGATTCGGTAGATGTAGTGTTGGTGGTGGCGGCGGCGGCGGTTGTGGTGACCATGAAACTGGCAAAAAGAAAACATATGCGTTTAATTATAATATTGTATACTTACCACAAATGTAGGTAAGAATGGCCCCGGAAAAAATGACCCCAGAAAAAATGGCCCCGGAAAAAATGGCCCTGGAAAAAATGGCCCCGGTAAAAATGGCCCCATAAGACATGGTAGGTAAAAATGGCCCCGATGAAAAATTCGGTAATAGAAATGATATATTTTTTTTTTAATCTTCATATATTTTAATACTGTATAAGCAAGAATTGAATCAAGAAATAAAAAATGGCCCTCAATTATAAAATTCAAGAAAAAAAAATTAATAATAATAATAATATTGGCAATAAATGGTTACAATACTGTAACTTACAAAGCAACTTTTAAAAAATAGTAACGTTGCATGCGTTAAAAAAGATGCTGTTAAATTAGTATTAGAAACTTTTAGTAGGAATACATATATACAGTAAAGTAAAATGTACAATAGTCAGCGAGTTCGTCAAACAAGGTTTAAAAAAAGTCTCGCCTTGGGTAGCATCTTTTTAAAGAAATAATTAATTTCATTTAAAAAAACAAAAGTTTACTGATTGATTAAATAATTATATTTTAAATAAGAAATGATTATGCGCAGTTAAGGCATCATAGGACAACATTTAAAAGATCATTATATTAGTGCTACTGAAACTGTTAATTATTTCAAGGTTTTATCTAAGTGCAAATCCGAGTTTGATTGCTTAATTAAACAAATGCTTTGGATCAAAGAACTGAAACCTACACATAACAAACAAACTGATTCAGTCGAAGCCAAACTGTTTATCTAGTTAATCTGCTAAGAAGGGCTAATTATTGCTTAGCTTCACTGTGGCTCCACACAGTAGGCCTTATTGATATGTAAATTAATTACTTATTCCTTGTCACTGCTTGGTATTTTTGTTTTTAGTTTTTTCAAGTTACTTGATCTTGAGAATGGTTCCATGATGGACCCGAAACGTCGATCTTTCTTGTCATTAAATTTTGTTTTGAGATTATGTTCTTAATTGATTTAATAAATAAAAGCCACAAATAATAATTTGATTTACTAAATTTCATTATGCAAAAATAGTTATGCTTTAACATAGATTAAAAATATGTTTTGCCTTACTTATTTTTAATCTATGGTCTTTTTAATTAATTTTCTATTTTTTTATTGGAAATTCCGTAGTGCAGAGTAAATTTATCAAAACCCATTAGGTTTACAGTAATATGAAAAAAAAATTTAGACTTATTAGCCTAAAAATGTTAGGCCTAGCCCGGCTAGCTATTATAAATAATAGATAGGCCTTTCTTCTACCTCTGTCTCTTATACACATCTTTGAATCAAGAAAATCAGTTTTAATACAGAATTTGATTATTGGGGCCATTTTTACCTACCTGTCATATGGGGCCATTTTTACCGGGGCCATTTTTTCCGGGGCCTTTATTTCCGGGACCATTTTTTCCGGGGCCATTTTTTCCGGGGCAATTTTTTCCGGGGCCATTCTTACCGTACACCACTTACCACATACCGTCCACATCATATGCATTGGATACAGAAGAACCAGCATAGGCTTAAGTATATTGTATTCCTAACTCGAATCCTAATCCAAAACATAACGTTTAATGATTCGATACAAATAGGCCTACAGCGATATGAGGAAGAAATAGAAAACGTTTATCTCTGCTGCCAGTGTTCAGTAATCCAAAAAGAATTGGTTCATTTGTCAATGCTTTTGAACTGTACCATTGTGTTCCGTAATGCTTGGTTGCAGGCATTAAATAGCAAATACGTTGGTACATACGCCTTTCTTTGGATTTTGTGTGAATGCCTTATAAGGTTCAAATCCAAAGCATTTCTTTTAAATTAAGCAATCAAACTTGGATTTGCACTTGGATAAAACCTTGAAATAATTAACAGTTTCAGTAGCACTAATATAATGATCTTTTAAATGTCCTATGTTACCTTTACTGTGCACAATCATTTCTTATTTTAAAATATAATTATTTAATCAATCAGTAACATGTTACGCCTTACTTTTAAAATATAATTATTTAATCAATCAGTAACATGTGTTTTTTTTAATGAAATTAATGATTTTCTTTAAAAAGATGCTACCCAAGGCGAGACTTTTTTTATACCTTGTTTGACAAACTCGCTGAATATTGTACATTTTACTGTACTGTTTTTCCGTTTTAAAATGTTTGTGCTCGTTAGCAATTTAGATTTATTGTTGATGTTATCCATGACAGTAATACGTACCGCAAAATTCCAGGCCTCTGAAAGTCCCCATAGTTGGTATTCGCCACGTTATTGGAAATTTTTATTTCAAATTTCGCGAAAATGGTTTTATAACATTCCCTGCAAGTTCATCGTTCAAAACTCGTGCCGAATCAATGTTTTAGAGCCTCCCATCAGAGCCATTAATAATAATAATAATAATATTAAATATAGTAATAATATCTAATAATATTAATAATTTTAAAAAATACTTAGACCTACTCCCAGAGCTACTCATAGGAGCTAAAAACTAATTTATTTTAGTTCTCAAATATGCATATTCTTTATGTTGATTTATTAATTAAATTTTTGCTACAGGGTACTTTACAGCATTTATTTATTTATTTGGGCCATTTTTTATTTCTTGATTCAATTCTTGCTTATACAGTATTTAAATATTTGAAGATTAAAAAAAATATATATCATTTCTATTACCGAATTTTTCATTGGGGCCATTTTTACCTACCTGTCATATAAGGGCCATTTTTACCGGGGCCAATTTTTCCGGGGCCATTTTTTCCGGGCCATTTTTTCCAGGGCCATATTTTCGGGGCCCATTCTTACCTACATTCCAATCCGATTTATCTGTAGATGCAGTAAGTAAGTAAGTAACTCTATTGCTTCTCTTTTATAACAGAGGCACAGCCGTAAAATACCCTAAAGTTTATGTTAAATTAAAATAATAACAAAGGAAATACCTTTACAAATGTTTGCTTTTTTTATATATATTTTTATTTAATACAAGCAAATTTACATTTTATTATATTTACAACAGACATTTGAACTAATGAAAAAGTGTTAGCACTAATTTATTAAATTATTATACACTAAATTAATAAATTAAAAGAAAACAATAGAATTTCATTCTTCAGAGACTTGCTTCCATAATATGTTATGTACAAACTATCAATTACATTATTAGGAATTGAGTAGAACCCCTCTTTTTTGGAAACCTCTATTCAGGGGACACTTTTCCGTTAAACGAGGGGAAGTATATTTCAGATCTGAAGTGTGGCAAAATAATGGCCAGATACCCCCTATTAATGGAACACTTTTTATTGTATTGTATCACAATTCAACTTCAGCAGTCTCAGGGACTTCAGCAGACTCATGGACACCTCTATTTAGTATAGGGGACACTTTTGTGGTCCCAAATGTGTCCTTTTACTATAGGGTTCTCTACTGTGAAACCTTGTTGCCTAATGTGTAAGCCTATCTTGATTCGGTAGATGTAGTATTGGTAGTGTTGGCAGCGGCGGTGGTTGTGGTGATAGCAGTTGGCCAAATGACCAGGAAACTGGCAAATTAATTATAATATTGTATACTTACTCACACATACCGTCCACATAATATTTGCATTGGATACAGAAGAACCAGCATAAACTTAAGTATATTGTATTCCTAACTCTCATCCTAATCCAAAACATAACGTCTAATGATTCGATACAAATACAGCGATATGAGGAAGAAGAAATAGAAAATACGCTTATTTCTGCTGCCAGTGTTCAGTAATCCAAAAAGAATTGGTTCATTTGTCAATGCTTTTGAACTGTACCATTGTGTTCCGTAATGCTTGGTTGCAGGTATTAAATAGCAAATACGACTGTACATACGCCTTTCTTTGGATTTTGTGTGAATGCCTTATAAGGTTTCAGGAAACTAGGTTTGATTTTACTCTTAAAGCTTTATCATAATTTAGTAGGTATAAATATAATGTCTAAACGAAACTCTCGGCGTGATTCTATATGCTGTTAGTCATTATAACGAACGTAATGTAACACTGAAACCATTGTTAGTATTTACAGTCACTTCTAGTGGATAAACTACCTGTAATATCTTAAGGTTACTCTGTTATTTAATTGATTGCAATACGAAGATCCTGTTGGTTTTATCAAGGAAATAGATAAATATTCTTAAAAATTCAATAATAGTTACTCAAATACGAAGGTGGTCAATGAAACGTGGTCATGCAGGCTAAATTGTAGATTATAGTAGAATGCTAGTATAGGCGAGTAGTATAAGGCAACTCGACAGTAGACCATTTTAATATAAGCCAGTTTATACAACTCAGTTATAGGCCCTTTAACGCCAAGGAGAGAAATAACATATTTTGTCGGGGAGAGAAAAACATCACAATTATGAAATTTTGTTTATATCTTTTACATTTCTAAATTGTCACAGCTTCCTGGGGCTTTGCTTCTGAACCTCTTCCAGTCTCTGACAACGGGCCTAATGGATCCTTTCCGCTAAGCCCCCTCCCCCATCCCCTTGGATATTGTTGCTAAGGTCCCATAAGACGACAGTGTTGAAACATACGTGAACACGTGCGTTTGTGAGACAACCCGTTCGCTTATTGGACAGGCGTGGATTCCAGGCACTGTTCTGATTGGTCAGTTGTTAACTTTGATTGACACTCCGGAAAGGTCTATTATGTTCTGGTCAGGGACACCGTAAGTCGCAAACATTCCCCCATCCCACCCTCCATCTGGTAAATTCTTGCGCAACCACGTTATAGTTCGACTGTACGGGTATACTGTCCTTATCTCAGATGTATTTTACCTTTAACCTTTGTGTCGTTATTGTGTGATACATGGTTATAGTATAACAAATTGAATGTAAACGCATCTAGACGACCTCTGACCTCATGTAAATCTACTGTTCCTTTATCATACTGTATGATTATTCGTTTTCGCTCTTTATTGTCATTTCGTCTTCCTTTGTGTTTGTTGTTTGATCTTTTTACAGTTGATAAATAAAATGTAATCCTTCTTTCAAAAAATGGTACTTACTGATACTCAGGGGTGATATATGTGTATAATGAAAAGATGGTACTAATGGTTAACTTATAATTTGATTAAAATTATCGTAACAAATAGGCACACATTTAATAAAATTATCATACAAAAGAATACGTAGAATACAGACTCTTTTATATCCTGGTAAATTCCGACTTAATTCCATGTGGAGAAACATGTGAATAACTCCGTCATGCCGTCAAGTGTAGCAACCGGCAATCCGACTCATCTGTAGATGCAATAAGTAAGTAACTTTATTGCTTCTCTTTTATAACAGAGGCACAGCCGTAAAATACCCTAAAGTTTATGTTAAATTAAAATAATAACAAAGGAAATACCTTTACAAATGTCTGCTTTTTTTATATATATTTTTATTTAAATACAAGCAAATTTACATTTTCTTATATTTACAACAGACATTTGAACTAATGAAAAAGTGTTGGCACTAATTTATTAAATTATTATACACTAAATTAATAAATTAAAAGAAAACACTAGAATTTCATTCTTCACAGACTTGCTTCCATAATATGTTAGTATGTACAAACTATTAATTACATTATGTAGTAGGTCTATGCTTACTCACTTATTTATTAGCTATATTTTAATAGGCTTATTATACATAAAGAAGAAAATCCGTTAATTTTGCATTACGCATTTGTTAAACGAATTCTTGTTCCCTCACCGAACAGATTCTAATATCAAATAGGATTACTTAGTGACAGGTTCATGGGGGCTCAGCACACCATGTCTCCTAATTTCTTTTTAAATTATTTAAAACTATAAATGAAGTAAAAAAACTATTTTAAATATAAGTCTGAGAGTGAAATTTCCGGCATTCTAGAGGTTTCATAATCATAAATTATCTTACCTCAATTACACCCTCCATCTGTGAAAGTCCCGCCCTTCCCCACCCCCTCTATTTCGAATTCTTAAATCCGCCACTGTTACTGGTTCTCTTTCCATGTGTTCAGCATCAATTTTTTTATATACAATTACACATCATCCCTGAAACTATTATTACAACTGAATGTATTACAAAATTAAATACACTTTATATTGCCACGTAATTTATCAACACACAGTTGTAAAGTCAATCGCCACCGAGCCATCACGATATAAATACACTAACACTACATTTCCATATCTTATATACACCATTATTTTAATAGAGTCTATTTCGAAACAGCGCTACGTCTCGCAACTTTTCACAGGACATCCAGAGCTGCAGCAGCCTAGCTTGAGCAAATTTCGTTTTTCCAGACACATCTTCTTTTCAGTACTTCGACAGCCGAAAACACTGCAGGTTTCACGCGCCCCTACGCAGATCAAAATACCTAGGCCTTCCAGTGGTAGTTGCCAGGTTCTCGGAAATTTTCATTTCAAATTTAGCGAAAATTGTGTATATACAGGTTTTGTCTTTGAAGTCCGTGTTTTCTAATAATATACAATTCCTTAAATATGTCTTTTATCGCTATCTCTTGTAACGTTGTCGGTGAAATAGCTAGCACCATGCACTTGAAAAGTCCAGAGACGGCTGGTTCAACATATGACCTATAAATTTAAAAACATTGATAAATGTTCTATAGGTTCACTGGCTAA